AAGTTTGAAGTATTTTAGCCAGATCTATTGCAGGGGCCATAGTCACAGGGTAGGAGGCTGCAAACAGGCTCCTCCAAAAGCCAGTGGCGAGGTTACTTTCGCCACAATGATCATAATCAGTTTCAATAAACTACTGGAATCTTCATCCTCTATGTAAACATTTGAGTTCAGTAAACATCAAATTGTAGTGTATTAAAAACTGTAGGATACAATAACCAAATTAACTGTAAGGTACACCTCCATGGTACAGAACTAGTGCTTATTTTGTGACTATACCTGCAGACTTTTTCCAAATATTATCAGTTTAATTTTCAAATCACTACTTATGCCTATTGACTAAATTCCAATGTCTGTAAATGGGCATAATTCCCAGAAACTGTAAATACAGCTCTGTGGCTAAATGTGAAACACACATTAAGGTAGCATATATGTGCTCAAATATTCCCTTCTCTCCTTGTCTCCTGACTGCTATTCAGTAGCACTGTATTTACTGAGACATGTAGGCATTAGTACAGCGCCATGGAGGTGTACCTTACAGTTAATTTACATGATGCAGAGTTACTGACTGGAGCATCTGGTGACAAGTTAGTATCCCCCCGCACCTCCCCCCCCCCCCAAGTAAAATGGGTTCTACATTGGAGGGTAAAGTAAGTGAGGTTTACAAGGTCAGATTTAGTTCTAAATTTCAAGGCAATTAAAAGTGAAAAATACCCTGGTTGCCAACAGGGTTGGTAGGCAACCACAGTTTTGAATGTGTACAGCTGGTATGAATTAAAATAGGGGCTAATGGAGGGAGCAGCTACACAGCACAGAGAGTCCAGATAGCAGCTCCAATCCTGCAGAGACAGCCTACAGCTCAGGTAAGTAAAGCGTGGGGAGAAAGGCAGCAGGGAGACATGGGGACACTGAGACACTAGGGGACACTGTGAGGCATGGAGACACAGGGAGACCTCTGGAGATGCTGAGACGCTTGGGGACACTTGGAGACATGGGGACACAGACACACATGGGGACACTGAGACATGGAGACACTGAGACACATGAGGACACATGGGGACACTGAGAAATGGGGACATTGAGACATGGGGACACTGAGACACTAGGAAACACTGAGACACTAGGGGATGCTGGGAGACATGGGGATACAGACACTTAGGGACACTGATACACTTGGGGACACTGGGTGTAGCGGAGAGCTGGTATTTCACAGGTTAACTCCACTAAAGATCCCAGTGAGGCTCAGGAGCAAGTAATAAAAATACCATAGAGCAATAATCCCAGCAAGCAAAGTAATCCACGAATATTCCCATACAGATCCCAATGACTGGACGACACCATCAGAACTGACTTTTAATCCACACAACCTCCTTTTAAAGCATTCTCCCATGCAAGGAAGGGATTCACCATAATTAAGACAGTAGCCAATAATGTAACAGTTACCTCCCACACATCTCCTCCCCACACATAATCCCATTAAACATACTGTAGTTTTCCCCAAATTCTGGATGTACCCCAAAACAGTTAGGTACAATGAGCTAAGGGGCACCCACTGGTAGCCCTGATCTGGGTGACCAACATATCCAAAATTCACCCAGATCAGACCAGGGGTTCGGGAGTTAGGTGGAAGAGACAATTTGACAGACCGCACACGAGGTGGTAGCCGAAGAGGGTTCCATGTGTTTTGGCCCTGCGGTCTGTCTCCGTTCGGGAGGTAAAATACACAGAAATACATGACATCCACTATTAAAACTGTATTCGCATGAATAGCCTTGTTCGGTACTTTTAACTCACCGAACGAGGGGCTGATTAGCCCTTCCGTTCGGGAGTTACGGAGCTCTGGAGGTCTCAGCGGTGTTTGGGTAATTGAGTGTCCGATTTGAGTTCCAGACACTCGACAACCAAACAACGCTGAGGTTATCATGCGTAAGATGGCCGCCGCCACGCGTTCGTATGCCGAACGGCGGCCACCCAGATACATGCACAAAGTACTGATCGTACCAATTAACCTGCGGTTAGAGAAGTGTGAAAGCCTAATAAGGTGCACACTTCTCTCTTGGGGGGTCTACTGGTTCGGTAGTTTTCATTCGTATGGAATACGGATGAAAACTACCGAACAATCATACGAATACTACATCCACTTTTAGCTATACAGGAAAATAAACATACGAATTGCATTTTTAACACAGTCTTTTTGGACAGCCGTAATACCATCCGCTACACTAGGAGACACTGGCACATGGGGACACTGAGACATGGGGACACTGAGACACTGGGAGACATGGGGACACTTAGACACTAGGGACACAATGTCCCCAAGTGTCTCAGTGTCCCCATGTCTCATAGCCAGTGTCCCTGGTGTCTCAGTATCCCCATGTCTCCCAGTGTCCCTAGTGTCTGTATGCCCATTTCTCCCAGTGTCCCTAGTGTCTGTGTGCCCATGTCTCCAAGTGTCCCTAGTGTCTGTGTGCCCATGTCTCCCAGTGCCCCTAGTGTCTCAGTGTCCCCATGTCTCCCAGTGTCCACATATCTCCCAGTGTCTGTGTCCCATGTCTCCCAGTGTCTCCATGTCTCCCAGTGTCCACAAGTGTATCAGTGTTCCCTAGTGACATGGTGACACTGGGAGACATGGGGACACAGACACTAGGGGACACTGGGCAAAATGGGGACACTGGTCAACATGGGGACACAGAGACAAGGGGACACTGGTAGACATGGGGCATTGAGACACTGTGATACATTGGGACACTGATTTATAGTCTCAGTGTCCCCGAGTCTCCCAGTGTCCCCAAATGTCTCAGTTTCCCCATGACTCACAGTGTCCCCAAGTGACATGGGGACACTGGGAGACATGGAGACACAGACACTATGGGACCCTGGGCAACATGGGGACACTGGGTGACATGGGGACACTGGGAGACAGAGAGACACTGGGAGCAATCCATCTATACAGCAGAATCAAACTGTAAGTAGTTTTTTGGTGATTTCACAGAATTTTCTCTTACTCCTTGTGATTTACATCATGTGATGTCACACATACATATTTAGTTATGCAAATCAGTAGAATCCTGTATTTTATCCAAGAAAGGTGGCAACCCTGACTACTCTTCACATACTCTTGCTTAAGTATGGAAACTTAAGAGGGATATATGGAAACAAAACTTGTGTGGACTAGCTGAAATGAAATTAGTTAAGGTAATGATGACTTTGGTCTCTCTAACACTGTGGCATATTCCCTTTCTTCTTTCTTCTACACTCACTACATCCACCTTTTCTCTGTCTCAGACTGAATCCCAGGAGCTTCTGCATGCTAGTAAGAAGGTAAGGAGACAAGTGGACATGTGAGTGCTGGGGGACAGTCCTTAGAAAGCATGGAGCTAGCGCATTATTAGACGCACTCATGCCTCCTCTTTGGGCATGTTCGTCCCTTTCGGGAGTTCTGGTTACATGATTCGGTTACCCAAATGACTTCCTACTTCACTGGACACTGCTGTTAGGGGGTATGGATGAAAAGATGAATGCATGAATTAGAGAGAGATTCGCATATTTTAAGAGAATCTGAGTTTTCTTATAGCTGAATCCTGTAATTTTCCCTCCGGCAACATCTCCACTAGATACATAGTGCTTGAGAGATATAGTGTTTTTGGTCGATAAGATTCTGTACTTAGGCCCCTCATAATTGTCAGCACCAGGCCCACTGGGCTCTTAATCTGGCCCTGTATGAGGTAGTTTACAAATAAAATACAAACAGACATTTATGTATACAGAAGCAGTAGGAGGGGAGGCCTGCTCATGATCTCTCTTGGTGGTTCTTTTATCCCTAGTGACATTTGAAGGCTCATGTTCACTTATGTAGGTTGGGAAACAACATTCTCCTTGTCATGCACTCAGAACTCCTGCCAGTACCACCTCCCTGGATGTTAGAATCCATTTATGAAAGTGTAAGCACAAATATTGCTGTAGAGTGAGAAGACAGAGGTAATCATTTCTAGTCCACCTGCAGAGATGCAGATAGACTGAATGGAACCCCACCAGAGAATGTCGTTTCTGGGGCTTTAAGCTTATAACATAGAAACATAGAATGTGACAGCAGATAAGAACCATTCGGCCCATCTAGTCTGCCCAATTTTCTAAATACTTGCATTAGTCCCTGGCCTTATCTTATAGTTAGGATAGCCTTATGCCCAGGGCCGTCTTTAACGCGGGGCAAACGGGGCAGCTGCCCCGGGCCCAGTTGCTCCTGGGGGCCCAGAGCAGCTGCTCTGTGGGCCCCGCGATTTGCGGCTCCCGCACACTGAGGAGGCTCCCCGGGTGGCCCATGCACTAAGAGCCGACCGGGGAGCATGTGTCAGCAGGGGCCCGGTCGGGCGCTGTGGCGCTTAAACAGCGCGACCGGGCCCCTCTTCCGGTTCTGCAGCCGGCTGGGAGGAGTGACGTCACTTCCTCCCACCGGAGATAGCCGCGCGGGAGGAGGAAGGCAGGGAGGAGGGGAGTTCAAGAGGAGAACTCCCATCTGCCTCAGCCTGCCACTGGACCAGGGAAACCACCCTCCAGGAAAAGGTAAGAACCTGGAGGGTGGCTAAATGTATGTCAGTAGGTCTGTGTGTGTGTCAGTATGTCTGTGTGTATGCCAGTATGTCTGTGTGTGTGTCAGTGTGTGTGTGTGTGTGTGTGTGTGTGTGCAGTATGTGTGTGTGTGTCAGTATGTCTGTGTGTGTATGCCAGTATGTCTGTGTGTGTGTGTCAGTATGTCAGTATGTCTGTGTGTATGCCAGTATGTCTGTGTGTATGCCAGTATGTCTGTGTGTGTATGCCAGTATGTCTGTGTGTGTGTGTATGCCAGTATGTCTGTGTGTGTATGTGTGTGTGTGTGTGTCAGTATGTCTGTGTGTATGCCAGTATGTCTGTGTGTGTATGTCAGTGTGTGTGTGTGTGTCAGTATGTCTGTGTGTATGTATGTCTGTGTGTATGCCAGTATGTCTGTGTGTGTATGTCAGTATGTCTGTGTGTGTATGTAGGTATGTCTCTGTGTGTGTGTGTATGTGTGTGTCAGTATGTCTGCCAGGATATATTTGTGTGTCAGTGTATGTGTGTGTCAGTATGTATCTGTGAATGTTTTAATGTCTGTCTGTGTGTATGTGCCAGTACGTCTGTCTGTGTGTATGTATGTCTGTGTGTATGTAAGTATGTCTGTGTATGTGTGTGTCAGTCAGTATGTCTGTCAGTGTATGTGTCTGTGTGTATGTATGTATGTATGTCTGTGTGTGTGTGTCAGTATGTCTGCCAGGATATATTTGTATGTCAGCGTATGTGTGTGTCAGTATATATCTGTGAATGTTTAATGTCTGTCTGTATCAGCCATTACGTCTGTCTGTGTATATGTCAGTATGCCTGTGTGTGTGTGTATATATATGTCAGTATGCCTGTGTGTGTGTTTCAATGTGTCTGTCAGTGTATGTGTCTGTGTGTTTTAGTATATCTGTCAGTGTATGTGTTTGTGTGTGTGTCAGTATATCTGTTAATGTATGTGTCTGTGTATGTATGTATGTCTGTGTGTGTGTCAGTATGTCTGCCAGTATATATTTGTGTGTAGTGACTGTGTGTGTCAGTATGTATCTGTGAATGTTTTAATGTCTGTCTGTGTGTGTATGTGCCAGTACGTCTGTCAGTGTGATTGCGGGTTGGACGTAATTGGGGGGTGAGGCAGTGGCAGGGACAGGGCCCATGGGGCCCAAGAAAATGCATTGCCCAGGGTCCTAATCATATTATAGACGACCCTGCTTATACCTATCCCACGCATGCTTAAACTTTTTTACTGTGTTAACCTCTACCACTTCAGCTGGAAGGCTATTCCATGCATCCACTACCCTCTCAGTAAAGTAATACTTCCTGATATTATTTTTAAACTTTTGTCCCTCTAATTTAAGAGGGAACAAAGAGGGAATAAAGGTTTGCTTTTTAAAGTATAGTGAAAATTAGCACATGTTTATATGTTGTTGGGAGGGAAGGTATTAGCACAGCTTTTAGCACAGCTAAACAGTATTAGCACAGCTTTACCGAATTTATGAAGTGAAAACGTGTACTTTCCCATTATGTACACAGTTCTCGCTAGTATGCTGAAGAGTGCATAGCCTCTATAGGAATAGTACAAAATATATCTGATTTAAAGAACAGTCAGTGGGAACTCTGGATGATTAATCTGTAAGGCATGCTCAATTAGCTGTCATATGTTCTCATTCTCATCTATTTCATCTGAATAACAGTTGGAAATATACAACAGACTGAGTTTAGATGGTATTTCATGTCTAAATAAATTAGTTTTATTTATTGGGTGGTGTTGGCCTGACATATGTTTTTATTAATATCTGTCTGAAGGTTTGCCAGGGACTCCATGGGAATTGTGTCAGACAGAAATTACATAACATATGACTTACTTGGTTAAATATTCATGTTAGTTTTAGTATTTCCCCTGAACCAAGAAAAAAAAAGAAAAAAGTTATCCCGAGCCATATGGCTAGTATTATAATACTTCCCAGGATGCTCAGACAGAGAAAGACATAATGGGAGTTGTGGTTTAAAAGCTATAGGGATGCAATCAGAACCCTTTGATATAGCAGGCACTTTAGTGATCAACAGCATGCTAGCAAGAAGATATATATATATATATATATATATATATATATACATATATGTGTCTGTATGTGTCTGTGGTGTGTGCGTGTAACATACATAATATATGGTCACCATGTGACCATGTACTCCTATTATTTGGTTGTAGCCATATTGTAATGTCCTAGGTTGTTTTGGCTTACTTTCAAAACCAAAAATATATTTTTCTGTGATGTCTGTTCAGCTGTTTTTCTCTAACTGAATTGTTCATATTGCCGAATTCTCAGGGGTCCTGTGCAAAATGGTTTTGTGTTCTATAGGTTAAGATTGCGCCAGACATTTGTCAGGCAGACTACTCACTGAATTGTCAGTGAGATGCTTGCGTGTGGTAATCTATGTAAATCACTGAATAATAGCCAAATCAAGCTGAGTACAAGTTAAATGTCCTGTTGTGTGTGTACCTGTTTTAAAGGCCACATTTAAAACCTGGATATTTTCATAGAAGAGTGGATTTTCAGCTGCTTCAAAAGCATGTGAATAAAAATGTGAAAAAAAGTTATCTTTCTATTTTAAAATGTCTGGGTGGTCTCAATAAAGTTGTCTTGGTGCAGTGCCCCTGCTGTTTTAATACTGCAGCGTGAAATGTTGCCATCTTGTAGATACTGCAATGTTTTAATTGCTTGTTTAAACTTCCTTACAGCCACTAGAGGTGCTTTCTCTGTGAGAACCAAGTCAGATTCAGTTCTCAATCAAATACTGCTCGTAGAGAGCACTTGATTGGCGCATCATGGTGATTTGCAAAGCATGTGCTGTATTCTACCAATACTTCTATAGAGGGAAGCATTGGATTGGCTGAGATCACCTATCTTGTTGAAAGCATTGAATTAGCTGAGATCAACAGACTTGTTGATCTCAGCCAGGGAGGTGGAGACCAGCTCAGCGAGGACTGAAAAGTAAAACAGCATTTTATATTGCAAATGAGGGAACACCTAAATAGTTACTAGGACACTACAGCACTAAGAACACATTTTTCTTTTCCTATTTCGGTTTCTAATTGCTTCTTTACCACGGTTTTTACATCTGTCTTCGAACTGGGCTCCTTTATAATGGTTCCCTGTCAGCCATTGTTATAAGTTCTGTCATTGGGGAATCGTCCGGTGACCAGCAAAAACTCGCTTTTTTGTGAGGCCCCTAATTCTTGCAGGTGGTACAATTGCCTATTCGTCTTGGCAAAATGCCTCCAGGTCATGCAAAGTCTTTGGTCGTCTTGCATGAACCACACATTGAGATCTCCCCAGAGTGACTCAATGATAATTAAGACTGTGATGGCCACTCCAGAACCTTCACCTTTTTCTGCTGTAAATCACTGGAGAGTCACCTTGGCCTTGTGCAGAGGGTCATTGTCATGCTGGAAAGTCCAAGCGCTTCCCATGCTCAGCCTTTGTACAGAGGAATGCAAATTGTCTGCCAGTATTTTCTGGTAACATGCTGCATTCATCTTCCCATCAATTATCACAAGATTCCTCATGCCTTTAGAGTTCACCCACCCCCCAAAACATCAGTGAGCCACCACCATGCCTTGTTGGCCCCTCTCCAAACATAGCGCTTATGGTTGTGACCATAAAGCTCTATTTTGGCCTCGTCACTCCAAATTACAGTGTGCCAGAAGCTGTGAGGTGTGTCAAGGTGTTGTCAGGTATATCGTAACTAGGCATTTTTGTGGCATTGATGCAGTGAAGGCTTCTTTCTAGCAACTCGACCATGCTGTTCATTTTTGTTCAAGTATCATCGTATTGTACTTCTTGAAACAACCACACCAGCTTTATCCATAGCAGTCTGTATTTCTCCTTAGGTTACCTGTGGGTTTTTCTTTGTATCCCGAACAATTCTTCTGGCAGTTGTGGCTGAAATCTTTCTTGGTCTACCTGACCTTGGCTTGGTATCAAGAGATCCCCGAATTTTCCACTTCTTAAGTGATTGAACAGTACTGCCTTGCATTTTCAAGGCTTTGGATATCTTTTTATATCCTTTTCCATCTTTATAACGTTCCATTACATTGTTACGCAGGTCTTTTGACAGTTTGACAGTTCTTTTCTGCTTCCCGTGGCTCAGTGTCTAGCCTGTTCAGTGCATCCACTTGAGAGAATTTTTGATTGAGGGTATAGAATTGATATTACATAATAATTATTTTTGGTATAACAACTTTTTTATTCAAGAAAAGGGTACAGCCATGGGTACCAAGTTTGCACCCAGCTATGCCAACCTATGTATGGCCCATTGGGAAGATTCTTTTATATATGGGTAGCATGGCTGGGAGGCAGACTTGGTATCATATAGCCATTATATAGATGATATTTTTTTTCATATGGAAGGAAGCTGTCAACCTTCTTAACATTCCTCAATGACAATAACTGGGGCATAGAATTAAATAGTGTTTGGAGTAAAATAGAAGTCGTTTTTTTTAGACTTGGTCATCTATATAGAGGAAGGTAAGATTAAAATTGAAAACCACTTCAAGCCAGTGGACATCAATAGCTTCATTGAGAGGGGTAGTTGCCACTATTCCCCCTGGCTGGAGAATGCCCCTAAAGGACAATTTCTCCGTATAAGGAGAAATTGCACGGATCAGACGATATACGAAGAACACTCTCTTAGGATAAAAAGTGATTTTTTACAAAAAGCGTACAAGGAAGATAGGTTAGAAATAAAATCAAGAAAGAGAGAGGATTTATTAAAGTATAAACCAAAAGCAAATCAAAATAATGCATATCCAAGACCCCTTCATATGTAACTTTAGTAATCAAAATAGAAAAGTGAGAAATATAATACAGAAAAATTGGCATATTCTGTTGCAAGACCCTACCCTGAAGGAAATTTTAACGGAGAAACCAAGAATAGTCCATAGCGGTGTTAGGAACACCAAAAGCAATTTAGTAAGAAGCCATTTAAGAGAAACTAAAAGTCCATCCAGGTTGGATAACAGTATAGGATTCTATGGTTGCGGCCAATGTATGGCGTGTAAGAGAATGGGTAACCATAGGAGAATAATCAAAGAATTTAGTTCGGACAAGAAAACCTGCAAAATTAAAGAATTTATTACATGCTACACAAGGAATATAATATACCTACTAGAGTGCCCATGTGGGCTTAGATATGTAGGGAGAACAACAAGAGCTCTACATACACGTATAGAGGAACACTCTAGAAACATTTTAAAAGGTTATGAGAACCATAGCGTTTCGGCTCATTTTGGAATTTGCCACCAAAAAAACCCTATAAGTATGAAATTTGTAGGAATAAAAAAAGTTTGGAAAGATTGGAGAGGAGGGGATTTCAATAATACTATAGGGAAAGCAGAGATGGAATTGATCTTCACGTTAAATATGATGATCCCATACGGACTAAATAGTGATTTTGAGATCTGTCACTTCCTAAAATGAAAATGATAATAATTTACCCTTCTGAAATAATGAGATATTAGACCTTTTAATCCTAAACCTAATTATGAATCTTTTAATGAATTAAGAAATATGTAATACATTTACCCCCTATTAAATTAATTTTTAATTTTCAATTTTTTATCTTATGAAATCTAGTAGGTATACATTGGATATCTTCATTGCGCCTAATTGAAATTATGCCCCATAATTTATTTTAAAATCATATAAATTGGAATATAAAGGACACTTATCGTGCCTAAATAATATATGAGGAATAAATTTACTCTATGAAATATGTTATGCTTATCTATTTGGCTAAAATATCCACAAGAGAACACTTCAATTAAACCTCTATG